ACCGGATATATGGTATATGACAATTAGCTTGGGAATTGTAAGGGGAAATCTGGACATGGGGAATATCAACACGCATGAGGAGTTGTTCAAATGCTCCTCTAACTTCAGGTCCATTGTCAGTCACTACTTGACCAATGGCTCCGTATCTGCAATACAAATCTTCCCAGAAAAACTTTGCCATAGCTTTGGCAGATGGGTTTTGTAATGCTCTTCCTTCAACATAGTGGGATAAATCGTCCCTAGCGAGTACAAGATTTTTGTGGCCTGCAGCTGAAGGCATCTTCATAATATCCACATAGATCTTGACAAATATAGTCGCAGGGGTAGAAACAGTAATGGGGATGTGCATTTTCTTTACACTTCTTACTTGACAATCATGACAAGACTGTACATGATGTTTAACGTCCGTGTACAAATGAGGCCAATAAAAACAGTAACGAATGGTCTCAAAAGTTGCTTGAACACCTTTGTGTCCTAGTTCCTCATGAGCTTTATGAAGAATTGCAGCTCTCTTGTCAGCATCAAATACTACAAGTAGAGGGGGTCGTCCAACTAATCTTTTAAACATCTGGTCACCACAGACAAAGTACTGTGTGGCCCGGGGTAACAAATTTCTTACGCTGGGCAGTCTTTTCAAAATTAGGTGGTTCCAAGGTGGTGAGAAATTTATATATTTCTCTTAGGGTCTTCTCTTGACTAGTTGTTGAGGCTAAGACGGATGGTAGACAAGTGGGTTCATAGGAATACATAGGAATGGATAGTGAACACGGTCGGTAGTCTTCCTGAGAGATTCCTGCAAAGAGAGCTATATCATCTAGCCAGGAGTCTTCATCAGGTTCTATTTCTTCATTTTCTGCTAAAGGTCTCCTAGATAATGCATCAGGACCTTTAAAACGTGTGGCAGGAACATGAACAAGGGTGAAATCGAATAGGAGTATTCCTTGAATCCAACAGTTAATGGTTGCATTAGGTTGCAAATCAGGTTCGTTAAGCATTCCCTTGATGTATTTTGCATCAACTTCCACAATTAGAGTCTGTACTCCAATAATGTGAAGCCTGAAATGCCTAAGGGCACGGAAAAGTCCATAGAGTTCTAGTTTTGGTTGGGAGTACCTTGACTCTGTATCTCCCATGGGTAGAGATCCATACCTGGCTGGTCTTCTTCTTCCTTCATCATCCAATTGGGACAATATAATTCCTACAGCCACAAAACTAGAATCCACTGACAAAATCACGGGGTTGGCTGAAGTATAATCTATACTTCTCATTGCTGGGGCAGAACATATTCTCTCTTTCAACTTTTCAAATGCTTCATCTTGTTCATCACCCCAAACAAAGGGTTCATCTTTCTTCCATAGTCGGGTAATAGATTTTGCTAGTTCTGAGAAACCTAAAATCCAAATACGAACTGTTCCACAAAGGCCCATGAAGCCTCTTGCTTCTTTGACTGTGGTAGGAATAGGCCAATTGAGGATCTTTGACACCTTTTCTGTGTCAGGTAATCTTCCTTCTGGTGTACATCTTTGTCCTACTATTAGGACATCAGGCAAACATAGCTGTATTTTGGTAGCAGAAAATGTTGCTCCCACATCTTTTATGCGGTGCATTATTCTATGCACGTCAATAGCATGTTCCCAGATAAATCTTCTGATCCCAGGGTTTTCTTCTAACACCTCGGGATCTCCTTCTTCGTCAGGATAAGTAGACTTAGGTCCTTTGACCGGTAAGTCATCAATAAAAACATTGGCTACACGAGGAATTTCATCTTGCAATACAAAACTAGTGCACTTCTGAAATTCCGCAGGAGCATTGGTGTATCCCATAGGTAATGCAGTTAACCTTAGCAATCCTAAGGGTTGTAAGGAAAGCTGTTAAATCTCTGCTGTCTGGGTGCATTTTCCTAGCATCAAATCCCCAGAACAAATCAAAAACAGTATAACATTGACGGCCAGCAAATGACTCTACAAAGTCATCTACAATCAGGATTAGGCCTGCATCTCGAATAGAAATTTTGTTAAGTGGTTGAAGGTCATGAACAAGTCGGAGTTTGCCATTCTTTTTTAATACACAAAACCAGCGTGAACGATAGGCTGATTGACTTGGCTCGTATACTCCTGCATTAATCTTGGTTCGTAACAAATCAATCACCTTTTCTCTAATACCGGGTGGAATAGGAATATTTTTGTATTCCCATGGAACATGAGGGATGGTTGGGATAATATAGGGGGTGAAATATGATTCCTTGAGAGTCCCTCGGTCAGTCTCTTCAATGCTAGTGCATCTTGGTTTAAGTGCATTATATGTTGAAACAGTTTGACCTTCTCGGGCCAAAGAAAAGCAGCCGAGTTAATATTAAGACTCTTCATACGCTCAATGGTCAATCTACCATTAGGTATGAACTCAGGTGGATTGTGGTGTCAAGGGAATCATAGTCTTCAAAGGATCATGGGGAAACTGCCTCAAGACTCGAGCATCTTGAGGGAAAGTACCGGAAACGGGCTTAACTTTCTTGTCAACTCGTTTATACATTGTAAGGATTGGGTTATAAGATGGGTCTGAAAGGGTGGATGGTTCATAATTTAAAATATAAATCATCTTCATCAAAGTCCAGGAAATCATCATCTATTTCCAGGTCTGAACTTGGATTTTCCCAATCAGAATCAACAGATATATCATCAAACAGCTCCTCGAGGCATGTTTGACGTTCTTCTTGGGTACCGCACTTCAAACAATATTCTTCAATTATTTGATCATCATTCTCTAAGTCTTCAGGATACACAAGCTTAGGTACATCACTAGAACTTTCAGTGATATTGTCACTGAACATTGCTAGACAAAATATACTATCACTTGATTGCCTTAAAAACTTAGGCTCAACATAAGGATAATCACATGTTGCATTATGAACTATGCTAACACATGCTACCATACTTGACATAGGTAGAGACAAGGAAATGGGTGTTCTGGGTTCTCGAACCCTGAACTTTTGGGATACAAATACACAAAGGCAAGGCCAATAGTTGACACATAAACAAACTTGAAACAAAAAATACAAAAATGCGGAATACAAATACAAACAAGGCACAAATACAGTGGCTCAAAAAACTGTCCGCATGTTTTGACATTTTTCACTATCTATGATATTGTGTGAGAATGAACAAATTCCTCAAGGACATACTTATACCACATTGTAGTATGGCTTCAGGGCTTTTATTTGAGCCCTACACCGTGGGAATCGGCGGAGATATGGTGGAGATATAAGGCTTATAAAATAATGACTCATGTGGACAGTTTTTTGAGTGTATATTAAAACTATATAAATCATTATTTATGACACCATAAAAATCATGCCACTATTATATAAATTATAAAGTGGTGTCATTATGTTATTTTATGACTATATCTAACTATATAAACCAGAATATCTCATGTATCATAGTCATAATCACCATGAAAGCCATCTCCTCTGCTCAAAGAGATAATATCCTCTCTCTGTCTTATGCTGGCCTCTCTGCTCGCCAAATTTCCTCTAGAACTGGAATATGCAAGTCCACTGTGGCCAAGTTCATCAAAGAAAGCCACCCAGACAAGGAAAACTCTTGTGGAGGACATCCATCCAAGCTTACCTCTACTGACAAAAGGGCTATTATCCAACATATCACTACAGGAAAGGCTGATAATGCTGTCCAAGCCACCCATTATATCAATTCCACCATCACTACCCCTGTCTCTTCACAAACTGTGAGGAATGTTCTCAAGGCAGCTCATCTCAAGGCAGTAACAAAGAAAGAAAAAGCCTCTTCTCTCCATCAAACATAGGCAGAGAAGACTAGCCTTTGCCTTAGCTCATCAACACTGGACTGTAGAGGACTGGAAGCATGTTATATGGTCAGATGAGACCAAAATCAATAGGATTGGGTCAGATGGGAAGGTGTATGTATGGAAAAAGAAGGGAGATGGCCCTAACAGACAGAGAGGTTAATGGGACTGTCAAGTTTGGAGGAGGTTCTTTAATGGTATGGGGCTGTATGGGATGGAATGGTGTGGGAATGCTTGCTGAGGTTGAGGGGAAGATGAATGCTGAGTAGTATGTGGACATTTTAAATGACCACTTGCTGCCTAGCTTGGCAGAATCAGGGATTGATGAAGAAGATATCATTTTCCAACAGGATAATGATCCTAAGCACACATCCAGAAGAGCTAGGGAATGGTTTGAAGAACATAACATCAATGTTCTTGACTGGCCAGCACAGTCTCCTGATGTCAATGTCATTGAACATCTCTGGGGAACACTCAAGAAAAAGCTTCAAGCCTATGAAAACCCCCCTAAAGGAGTATGGGAGCTTTGGGAGAGAGTAGCAGTGGAATGGGGGAAGATCACAGCTGAGGATTGCCAGAAATTAATTGAGAGTATGCCTAGAAGGATAGAGGCAGTAATTAAAGCCAAGGGAGGTCATACAAAATACTAGAATACCTGGTTATTACTGTAAAATACTTGAGTCAAAAAACTGTCCGCATGAGTCACCATTTTGTGAGCCTTGTATCTCCACCATATCTCCACCGATTCCCACGGTGTAGGGCTCAAATGAAAGCCCTGAAGCCATACTACAATGTGGTATAAGCATGTTTTTGAGGCATTTGTTTGTTCTCACACAATATTATAGATAGTGAAAAATGCCAAAACATACGGACGGTTTTTTGAGCCACTGTACACGGGGAAAACAAATAAAAAATTGAATGGATACAAGGCAAGATTTGAAACACGAGACTCGAAGCTCGAAACAAAAAACCTGAAGCTCAGAGCTATAAATACACTTGGAAAAACATAAGCCAATTTTTTGTGAGTTTTAAACGGTAAAAAACTCGAGAAACAAATAAAATCAAACCGAAAATATAAATACAAAATAATAAAATCAATCGGGCCAGAAATGGGCTTTCGATCCCTGAACGATGACGTCAGCACGCTATCGTCGAGGATATGAGAGTCATTTACCTCGAGATTAAGGTAAGAAGAAGATATGGGACTCCGAGGGTCCCTGTTCGTCGTCGTTGCTATCGGAGTCATCGTCGAAACACGCGCAAATACGAAGCTGCGACGCATTAGAAATAGTCAAAGAACGAAAAGGACGATAAGCAACTATATATAGACGGACTCGTCGAATTTCGAGCGCACGGTCCCGCGCTCGAGCATATTTGATAACTTTGAACTCGTCTTGCTCGTCGAGCACATGCTCTTCGACAAGCGAGTGTACAATGTTGGGGTCAGGATAAGGCAGGAGCAGGGCCGCTTTGATCGAGGATGCAAGGACATGCTCCCCGTGGAATTCGGCTACTGCTTGTAATAGAATTTAAATAATCAGTCTCGTCGAGCGTGAAAAATGGATTAATGGGAGGATGATCAGTGTGGTAGTACGTCGGGGGTACATGGGTACCAATGCGCTGGTTGGGGTCACATGCGAGAACGCTCGGACGTCGAAGTCCCTCGTGCAACATGCGAGGCGAAAGACTGTCCTCGAGCTTAGCAATCAGCGCGCGGCTATGAGCTCGATGGTCGAGAAGGTCCCGAGCACGATCATCCCAATCGCGCTCGGACCTAGGTCCAGGAGATGGGAAGGGCTCAGTGACATTCTCGACGGAACGTTTAACTGAAAAAAAACTCGGCATCCCAATCAGTAGCGCAAAGGTTATCTTGACATTCACAGTAAGACACATATTCATCGGCGACGTCGTCGAGCACGCGAGGATGCTCGTCACATATGGCAGGTAGGTCAGAAGCAAAGTAGTCCAGGAGGTACTGATGACCATCTAGCACCGGCAGGACAGTTGTCATGCGGACGAACTCGTCCACATGACTAGGAGCATATGGGGGCGGCGGACTATCAGGGTCATGCACAGTAGACTCAGGACTCTTGCAGGAAGGCACAGTAGTAGGGGACTCAAGAAAACGGACTCGTTCGATTGACGGAAGGTAATACGGCCCGTTAGAAACGGATGTGACATGAATAACTCGACGAGCGTCAACCCACAGCTCATCACTGGGTGAACCAGCTGACGAACGCACAAAAGACTCAACATAAGGCTGGGGGAGGACTGTGTCTAGTGGCATAGAGGGTGAAGGAGAAATAGAGCGCCAGTCTTCAGCACTGGGTAAAGGAGTAGGTAGAGAAGATATAGCAACAGGGTTGGGGCAAGGAATAGAGTGAGAGGCGCTATCATGTGTGGTAGGAGTAGAGTAGATGATTGGAGAGCCGGCTAAGACATTAGTAGCCGCTAAGAGCTGAGGAGACGGCGAGGTTGCAAAAACATTGTTGCCCATCAGGCCTTGAGCAGACGGCGAGGTTAGAGAGACGCTATTGGCTGTCAGAACCTGAGCAGGTGGAGACGGCGTTGGGAGAACATGGTTGGCCCTCAGAACCTGTGGAGAGGGAGACGGCGTTGGAAGAACATCATTTGTCAGCAAGGCCTGGGCAGACAGAGACGGCGCTGGAAGAACACTAAATGGACTTGGGACCTGAAGGAACGGCGACTGCAAGACGTTGATTGCCGTCAGGACCTGAGCAGATGGCTCATGGTCACTGCCGGCACCATCAAAAGAGGCTGCGGATTGGGGAGAGAAGAGAGGGTCAGGTCCCAAGGTGGGAGTAGATGCAGGAGTGGCGGGAGCACACAATACCTCACGCGCCACTGGCAATCCACTGGGGGTAGGCGATATAATGGAAGCAGGGTCCAGGATATGATGGAGGGAGGCGTTGTGCTCTAAGGCATCGCGCAAAACACGTGTTAGTTGTTGTTCAAAGAGGGAGGGGGTCATACAACATACCTTCTCCCAACATACTCACTCCATCTCCAACAGTGGCGCCACTTCCTCCAACTCCGGCGTCATCCGGATATGTGGGCTTGAGGGAGTCGCCAGTAAGTGCACGTCCCTCCCATCCAGCCTCGGCATTCGCCGGCGGAACGGGAGAGAAACGAGGAGATGGCAAGAAGAACTTAGAGGTGGGAGAGGCTGTGTTAGGACGAAGTTGCAGAGTCAACAAATCGTTGTTTTGAGATTTTGGACTCAGCCAGTAACTTCCGGCGGAGCCCAAAACGGCAGTTAGGGATTCGGCAACGTTTTGCATGCCGGTCACGTGGATTTCCAAATTGGGCGCAACAGGCGGCGGCAACAATTCTGAGAGCAAAGGTGGGGGGTTATCTTTTGTGCCCCGGTTTTCTGGGGTTATTTATACTATAGGGAGTAGGTATAAAATCAAATTGAGGGCCTAGTACATTGACATCATGGGTGATGTCATATTTTTCTTGAACTTTCTGGTTGTTGGTAGAACTTTGATTATGTAATCCCAAAACATCGGCCAAAAATGCAAAATTCTCATTATTTAGAGAATTTCCCATTAATTCAGCCATGCTAAGTAAAGATAAGTCTGTATCATTTAATTCTGGCTCATTATCAATGGCCATTTCATCTCCAAAAATTAGGTAACTGCTAGGGAGTCTTGAACCATACCAAGTTGATGGTTCAAATACCCACTGGGATTAATACCATCAGGGGTACATAGCAATTCATGTGTAATGTGAAGATTATGCGGGTCTTTAAATACGAGCCATGTTCCATCTTGTCTTTCATCAATGCTAACATAGTTCCCGCGTTGCCACGGTCTTCCTAATAGCAAATTGAAGGGTACATGGTCACCTACATAAAGATTTGCTTTGGTTTGGACTGCTCCACAAGTAAGTGGAACATTCTCAACTAAGCCTTGTAATTTTTCCTTCGCCTCCATTAGCATCGTTCATAGAGATGCTTCTTCCTACGTCAATGGGGCGGTTAATCTGAGCTTTCCAAACTTGTCGGCTCACTATATTGAGCTGACTTCCAGTATCAATTATAGCATTGATGGGTTCTCCATCACAATACATTGTCATCCTGATCAATAAGCCACGGGTCTTGCTCCAAATCGAGTGAGCTTGGGCTTTTTCTATAACAACTGGCTTTGGCTTTATAGCATTGGCTAAAATTCCTGACAACTCACGGGATGATCCAAGAATTTCACCAACTTCTAAAGAGATTGGAGTCCTAAGGACTGACTCCAAAACTTTTTCAGGTTTAGCACGCACTGCTAAATCGGAGATACGACGATGTGTAATCTTTTGATTAGGACTCGTGTTTTCCTTTTCACCAGGGTCTGCTTTCTTTTTGTCTTCCTTAGCCAAACTTGGCTTAGGAAGTGGCACATCTTCCATGATTATGTCATCATTATTTTCATCATAATCTGGATTAATACGAGTTTTCTGCTTATCAATATTAGCCCTTTCACTCCTTGTTAGTGGTCCGGGACCTTTCTTTGATAATAGGTTCCTTCTTTGATGCAGGAGCTGGCTTTGATCGCGGGGCAGTCATAGGTTTATTCCCTATCACATTTTCCTTTCCCTTTGATCCAGTCTCCTGATCACGTACATTTTTCTTGGTAGGGGGAAAGACTCCGTCAAAGCGTTCTCGTCTAGCTTTGGCAGCGGTCTTTATGGTTCTTTCTGCTGGATATACGTAATAGTCTTCTTCGTCACTTTCATCGCCATATGCAGGGATCATAAATGCATCATTGTCGCTATCACTTTCTTCATCTTCTTCCTCGTCACTAGAGATATCATCAACTCTAGTTCTCCTGCTCCTTATCACATTGCTAGTCAAAGACTCCCGATTGACCTCATCAGGGTCTAATAGCAACAAAGTGTGACATGGGAGCTGCTTCCCTATTAAGTGCTTCAATGACTGTTTCCTCCTGGCATACGTCTGACTGCATTCCCATTAGGGTGTTGAATTTGTCTCTTTTCATTCCTCTTGATCCTTCCTTCAGCTTCTAGCTTGGCAAGGTGAGGGCAAATGGGGAGAGTATGTCCTATCTCTCCACATCCAAAACAAATCCTATTCTGAAATGGTGTTCCTTGTGGATTGGTAAAATCTGGAACCAGGTTGGGGTTGAGGTCTCCTTTGACCATATCCTCTTCCACCACCATTACTGGGAGTAGCATTCAATTTAGAACCTTGTAAGTCAGGAGACATTCCTGCACCAGCTCTGGGAGGGGGTGGAGAAAATAATCTGCATGACTCTTGGGTCTAACTTAGTAACACGATAATACAAAAGAGCATACTGAGGATCCTCAAGTGACATGATATTGAGCTGCTTGATCAGATCCTCAATCTCATCACGTGGTTCCGTACTTATAGCTTCCTTGTTAGCCTTGGCTTTCTTGGAGGTTTCCATAGGAGTTGTTGTGCCAGAATGTCTGTCCTTATGTCTAGGAGTTTCTTTAGCAACATGTCGCTTCTTCGAACCTTTCTTAGTAGATTTGCGAGGTTTAATCTCTGCCTCATCATCTGAATCAGATGACTCCTCGCTTGAAGTCAAGGATGATTCAGTAGAGTCAGAGTCCTCAGAGTCCGAAGATGAGAGATCAGTCTCTTCCTCGGAGATAAGCAGATCTGAATCGAAACGGTCCCTGTGAAGTAGCTTCTCTGCAGCTGAGATAACTTTATCCACGCCAAATGCCTTGGATAAATCCTTGTCAGGTTCCTTAGCCATAAGTCTACTTTCAATCTTAGCACGCAAATTCTTATAAATTCCTTTCCAAAATAACCTGCATACTCATCTGCTGAAATCTTCTTTGCAGTTTGAAGCCAACCTGCAATCCTAATAAATCCTCGTACATACTTCTTCCATGCTGCTAGAGTGGGAATACGTTGTCCCCTCATAGCCTTAACATAGGAGAGTAAATCCTTTCTTTTATAACGCTTTGTGTCCAAATCAGCGTCATAATACTTTAGAATGTCTGCCTTGAGAGCATTCCAATCGGCTTTCTCATATGAGTCCAGTCCTTCAATGAACTCGGTGACATGACGTGAAGTATACTGGGTAATGGTTTCACATCTGTCCTTGTCAGTGGTGACTTGGTTATAGTCACATAACTTTTCATAATGCTTGACAAACTTTTTGACTTCTGTAAAGTCTCCTTTAAACTTCTTGGGAGCTGCCTTACTCCCGGGGATAGGCATAGTAAGAATAGAGTGTGTCATCATAGGCAGTGTTGATGGTGACATAGTTAACTGTGTGGTTAAGATAGATGCTGGGGAAATTGTCGTGGACAATTTGGTTACCTGGTGTGTTGGATTCTGAATGGTTACGTTTGGATAGTACTCTGAATACGAGTAGTTTCAATAAGAAATCAAGAAGAAGCCTCCCTCGCGGTTGGGCTCCAGTGATGTCTTAATAACCGAGGGTCTTATATAAATACGTGTAAGAATGTAATGACACCACAATTACACTGGATAAGACTTCTTGCCAGTCCTCAATTAACACGGTCTACAACTTTTCTTCTTTCGTGGTAGATAACGTGTGAGTTCTTGGGAGGCTCGCTAAACCAATCAGTCAGATTAACTTAGCCAGGAGCTTTATTATATCTGATTGAAACTATGGGATTGTCTAGGATATACCGTCTAGACACTTGAACTGGTTTCCTGAATATACGGTTAACTGTTGAGAAGCTGGTCTCAAATGTGACTACGTGGACCAAAGCTCGTGTTGGTCAATATACAAATACCTGGTGAGAACGCTGGTCTCACAAATAATAACAATGACAAATAACAACAATGACCAAAGCTCGTGTTGGTCAGTATACAAATACCTGGTGAGAACGCTGGTCTCACAAATAACAACGGTGACCAAAGCTCGTGTTGGTCAGTAAACACTACGTGGTGAGAACACTGGTCTCACAAAACTGGGTTTCTATCACAAGAAACTTACGTAATCTCAAGGGAAACACTTTCCCTGCACTTGCCTGGACAGTTCTTACAAAGGAAATGGGCTTTGTAAGCAGCAATTTGTTCAGACTGAAGCTTCTTAGGTGAGAGTTCAATTTGCTCAAGTGGGGGTTCTTGAATGCAACAAGTGGGAGATCTATTTTTTTTGGGGGAGAATGGGCTCTCCTTATATACATTTTGTGTGGGAATATTATGTAAGTAAAAAGGTGATGTAATGACTTCAGAATGTGAGAAGAATATTCCAAAAACTGGAGCAGAATGTTCTAGCAGGTGCAAAAGAACATTCCAGAATATTCATGGTGGGATAATGACATCATTCTGAGTCACTATGAGTCACTATGAGTCATTATGAGTCATTGGAATGTTCTAGCAAATTCCATGGAACATGACATCATTATGACGTCACTATGATATCATATCTTTCAACCAAAATACCTGCAGGAGTGTAGGTGAAGTCCTATGACATCATTATGACATCATACCCTGTAGGTACAATTTTATGAAGCATCTGGTTAGTCAGAGCATCCTAATAGAAAAGTAAAGTAAAGAAACACTAGAGAAAACAACTCAGAAATAATGGAACAAATAATAGTACACAATACGCGGGCTTTTTAGATAGGTTTTTGTTAGGCTTTGAACTTTTCTCTATGGGTTTCTCTAGCCAAAGTGAATAAGCCAAATGAAAGGCAATACCTTAACCTTCATTTTTGCTTCTCATATCAACTAGGTCATTATGTGATTCCCATCTCACATATGACTTTTCTTCAAAACATGGTGGATTCATGAATCACTGAGGGAAAACTGAAACTATTGGACCAAGGTTTGATACCAAGGTATGGGTTGACTAGTCTGAGGACTAAGCTAACAGACTTTGTCTTTTAGGGGGATACCTAGTAATCATGTCCATGCATGATTCCCAAATCATGCAGGACAGCGCATCCATCACACTTCAAGGGTCTTTCATTCATCTGGTTCTGTGTTCAGTAGCAGTCCCCTTTAGGGTCGAACGTTCTTGCATTCTGCGAGTATAGCAGCTAGGCAGAGCCAAGACTCACTTATACTGGTTGAGCATTTTTAGATATTTCATATCAGCCCAGCCAGGTTGAGATCACCTCATTGTCTTCAGCATCATTGTACCACTGAATTTCACTAGCATCTTTCAACAAACCGTCAGCGCGACATGCAGAGGACCCGGACATAGCAGCAGGAGGCATAAATGTCCCTTGGTACCAAGTGAATATATATAAAACTAGTTTTAAAACTGTTGCACACCATGAACCACCAAAACAAGAACCCATGGCAGATGGCGAGTATGGTGAATCACAACAGTAGGTATGTTCTGAACTAAATTGCATTATAAGTTAATTGGGACAGACAGTAAAATTGTTGCGAACTCACTGGCACCTGAATGAGTTGCTGCATTACTGAAGTCGCCAAGAGATCACCTTGCCTACTAGAATGCAGGAGAAGTAGGAGAAGACAGTGAACAGAAGGGCAAGGACGATACTTAAACAGAAAGCCTCACCAAAAACATGAGGCTTCGACTTCGAAAAGTCAGCAGGTTTGAACCGGTCCAGATTATACCGAACCCCGAACTTACCAAGGGGTTCAGTCCAACAGAAAGTCTGGACCTGTGACCGAACCATGGGTCTGGTCCGCAAAGGTTCGGGTTTGAACCTAGGTTCTGGACCGAACTGCGGCAGCACTACGAGTCTTTTCGAACTTCTTGCTTTTCCACTTTTTCTTGCTTTTTCACTCATTTTAGCGTGCTTGCTTAATTCAATCGCACAACCTTTTCATGTCCAAAGCATAAGTGAGAAAAAGCGACGATTAGTAACAGGTCTCGTAAAAAAGCGTGACAAAAGCTAGAAAAGGAAATGCGTGATTTCCTGATGCACAAGACTCACAGGATCCAATTGCGGACGACAACACACTGACTCGGATAATGCGCGGGTCTATCGTATCATTATGATACTATGATCTAACTTGAAGGTGCTTTCTAAGACTACTACTAGTAAGAACAGCAGATTCAGTCGGAGTCGTGGCATTGATATCTAATGCCGCTGTTCCGAACTTGCTGATACTATGTATTCTGAGGCAGTTTAACGTTTAGACTCCACACGAATTTCAAGTTCACGCGCAAACGGTCAGTTCTAGTCGATCAGCATCTCCTTTCTCGTACCTTCGTGCCTCGGTCTAGCAGCTAGCCTATACCTAATGCATCATGTCCCCATTGTATTGGTTTGGCGGTCAACATTTAGTATATTGCCAACTTCCAGTTTTTGGCTGGCCCGTCCCGCACCTTCAATGTTCCCGGAGTGCCTGCCGATCTACAGGATCTAGAGTTTACAAGGCGATGGCACATACTGGCCCTTGACTTACCAAACTGTACAGCCAGTCCACGAAACCTTTCTCGTGGCGTTGCGCGCTCCGGAGTTTCTACTTGCCATTGGGACTCCCTGTGCCTGTCCTTTACGCTCCCGTGAATACTCAAAACGGTGAATACTAATGACCCAAAAAAATACATAAAGTGATGCGAGTACAAGTACATTCAATGGCACAGTAAAAATAGCGCATCAAAATTCCAAGACAATATCACCCCTCATCCAACATCGAAACGTCATTGTGACTTGACTAATTGCATTTCTCGTCATCGAAAACCCAGTGGCCCCATGTGGCCCCGTTCTGAAAAATAATCAATAAACCATGCCAAATTGATGTGATCGAGCAGCAAACATTTTTGAAGCAGATCTGTGCCCCCGTGAAGTGCATTCCACGGAAGCTTACAGGAGTGGTAGCACAGAACTCCTTCCAATCGCCTCCAGACGGGATGTTCTCGAGGTAATGTTCAATGCGCTGCATATCGTCAACTTCGCTCACTATATCGTGTCTGAGAAACTCACTCGCTGACCGGATCCAGGCGAAGTACAGCCCTGCGACAATTAATAAGCTGCAAATATACTGACAAGAAGGATCGACGAACAAAATCTTTGTACCAGATCCAGTACGACGCGCAATCCGGCTCATGCTGGTCGACTTCCCAATGAGCTGTTACATTGTTTGGACCCTGGACTCGGAATATCAGCTGCTCATTGCCAACAAGAAATGCAGGAACACTCACATGATCCTCGCACCACTTAGGCGTGTATTCAGTCCCATGGATCTTTATCGATGTGGCCATGCAAGCCTCCACACGGCGATTGTAGTATGACGGGACATTCACCAGTCGGGCAGTGTACTCTCGAGTGGCGTATGTCGTGCACGTGTGGGAAGTCGGGTCCGTCCAAAACATATTCAATCTCAAGCGTTCTTCTTCTTCGTGCTTCCGTCTCTCCTCCACTTCACGTTCGTGCTCTTCCACTTCCCTACCCCATTGTTCGCGGAGACGAATCCTGTCATTATCTTCTTGAAGCCAGCGTTTTTGGGTGTCAATGTGCTCGAGAACTTCTTTCTCGTGCTGGCGAAGTTCGATGTTCCAAGCCTTGCGAATGCGATCTCGAACATCCGGATCTAAAGGGTCATTTGAAGTGGTCTTGGAGAAAATGAAACCCGTGATTGCAACATGAATCAAAAGAGCGAGGAGTACTAGTGTTGCATAGAAACAGGGAGATTGATAGCGGCGGTAAGGCTTGCCAGGCCCTATCAGAGGGTCTGCCTCTGATGAGCTGCAAGGCTTGTCATCGCCCATCAAATATCAACCTATTACCGACGCTTACACACCTAGGACGTTGAGGTGGAGGACTGCATACCCTCATTAGTACAAATGACTCCAAGAGTATTCAAGACGGTACTTTACCTGCCGTACCGCAGGCTCATCTTGTGAATTTCTTAGCGAATAGTTGTTGACTTGAATATTCAACGTTCGCTGAAGAAGTAATATTTACAAATCTCTCCCTCGACGATATGATATCGAAAAGAATCTGACAGTCACGAGGTGTGGGCCTATCTTTGATTCTTTGACCGAGTGAGGAAGGAGCTCGAGAATTTATGAGTGGATTCAGTCGGAGTCGCGGAATTGATATCTAATGCCGCTGTCGTTGTACATCATGATATATGTCATGCAACCTCACACAGATCACAATGCCATCGATGCAGCTGCCCAGGAATGCATTAGTAGACTCCGTGCGTTAGTTCATTGAGATATTACGATACCACCCATCTACAGTGCTGCGATGGAAGAATCGTTATCGTGGACTGCTGGTAGTGCTTATGTTCAATACTCTTGATTTGCAGTAACTTGTATTCGAGAAAAAGAAGGAAACCTAACAGACTAAAGATACTGAATACACTCTGGAAAGGTTTAGGACTGACACCACTCGAAATTACTACATTCTCGTCGTCGTCCGACAACGAGTCGTTATGATAGTGACTTGGCTACTTGCAGCTCTCGTCATCAAAAACCCAGTGGCCCCATGTAGCACCGTTCTGGGACATAATCAGTAAACCATGCCAAATTGATGTGACCGAGCAGCAAACATTTTTGAAGCAGATCTGTGCCCCCGTGAAGTGCATCCCACGGAAGCTTACAGGAGTGGTAGCACAGAACTCCTTCCAATCGCCTCCAGACGGGATGTTTTCAAGGTAGTGTTCAATAAGCTGCAGATCGTCAACTTCGCTCGTTATATCGTATCTGAGAAACTCACTCGCTGACCGGATCCGGGAGAAACACAGCCCTGCAACAATCAATAAGTTGCAAATATGCCAATGACAAGGATCGACGAACAAAATCTTTGTACCAGGTCCAGTAGGACGCACAATCTGGCTCGTGTTGGTCAACTTCCCAATGACCGATTACGTTGCTTGGACCCTGAACACGGAATGTCAGCTCCTCGTACTACCAAGAAATGCAGGAACACTCACATGATCCTCGCACCACTTAGGCGTGTATTCAGTCCCGTGGATCTTTATCGGTGTGGCCATGCAAGCCTCCACACGGCGATTGTAGTATGATGGAACGTTCACCAGTCGGGCAGTGTACTCTCGAGTGGCGTATGTCGTGCACGTGTGGGAAGTCGGGTCGGTCCAAAACATATTCAACCTTAAGCGTTCTTCTTCTTCGTGCTTGCGTCTCTCCTCCACTTCACGCTCGTGGCCATCTTCTTCTTTTTTCCACTGTTCGCGGCTACGGTTTTCATCGCGCTTTAGCCTCTCCATTTCACGATTGTGTTCTTCAACTTCTGTTCCCCATTGTTCGCGGAGATGAATCCTGTCATTATCTTCCAAACGCCAGCGTTTGTGGGTGTCACTGCGCTCGAGAACTTCTTTCTCGTGCTGGCGAAGTTCGATGTTCCAAGCCTTGCGAATGCGCTCTCGAACATCCGGATCTAAGGGATTATTACAAGGGTCAGATACTGATGCGAAGATGATGACCGCAATTGAAGCAGTTATGATAGCAATTAATGCCGTTCGAATGTAATTCTTGAGGGATTGATGGAGATGAGAAGGCTTGTCACGCATCAGAGGATCTGTCTCTGACGAGCTGCAAGACTTTCCATCATTCATCAAGCATCAACAAATTATCAAGCCTTACTCACCTCGCACCATAGCGAGGCGGGGGACTACGCACCATCATTAGGGTCAGCGGCAATACTAGTACTATATGGTGGCTTACCTGTTGTATCGCCTCATCCGGGAGAATTGTTAAGCTTGGTGAGTTTTTGTTGACTAACTATATGACAATAGAGATTATTGTTGAATATCGATTTCTTGCTGAAGAATGAACATAGACGAACCTCTCCTAATTGGACAACCTGGTCAAGGCGCTGAGAATAAAGAACATTCCTGGTGAGTTATGAGGAATAACAAATATCCAGTGCGCAGGCTTACAGGAAATTGCGCACGACAACACGCTGACAATGCGTGGGCCGATTTAGCTTGAAGGCTTTGACTAGGAACAATAGATTCAGTCGGAGTCGCGGCGTTGATATCTAATGCCGCTGTTCCGAACTTGCTGTATTGTAATTTGTCACACAGCATGCTTCCTCGTGTACTAGTACTGAGTACTGAGTACTGAGTACTGAGGCCTGAGGCATGCTGTTCTCAGTTTAGGGTCCACACGAAATGCACAAACGGCCGGATCTAGTGAGTGCTGAGCGCCGAATAATAAGCATCTTGGCGTGCAAGTATCTATGATTCCAACTTGAAAACCTTGCGTCAAGACCATGTGCCTAGTTAATCATCCATAATTTTGATGATTAGCTTCAGTAGTACTTACAAGCAATTCTCAGCCTTGCGGTGCAGTTCACGAGTCAATATCGGTGCTTGGAATTACTTTACAAACCCACATACATCCCTATCAACCATTATCTGTATATACAAAAGGCACGGCAAGCGAACCCTAAGTTATTGCCGGAAATCATCGAACAACGCACGAAAACAAAACAAAAGAAAACCGTACATCACGCTTCCATTCTTCCATTCTTCACTCCCATCGTCCCATGAGCTCCCCCAAATCTAAGCCAACCAACGAATTTCTGTCACCAGCACCAAGTGTCGGCACCATCCGTGGACTATCCCTGACATCTACTAGCCCCAAACTTGACGCAAGGCGCGGACTGCTGATATCTGCAGTTGGGATCATTCGCGGGCTTTGACTGAGAACCATGCTCGTCCTGCTACCGGATCTTGAGCGCGCGAAATCTCTGCTGGATTGCGAGAGATCCAGTGTTTGAGCGAGTGACCCAGAGCGTGCCAAGTCCCGCACAATGCTCAGAGATGAGGAGTGTGAGGATGTGGATGAAGCACGTCGGTGCCGCATGCGTTGTGTGGGATCAACATCTGGGACGTTGGCGATGAGCGCGAAAAGAGAAAGAACTACATCGTAGAGATTAGGCATCGTAGACGAGCAAGATATTCGATGAACGAAATACGCACTGTCGACAATGCTAACGATTCCGCACAGTCCGCCGCCCATGGGCGAGCCTGGAGATGAGCTGGGCTCGAAATCAGAGTCAGTTACGAAGAGTCGGTGCGAATTGGCTGATCAAGTCATCAGTCTATCCCATTCTGTGAGTCAGAGAAAGAGTAACGCACTCGCAAGCAGTTTCTGAATCGCATATGAGAGAGTGCTGGTGGGGAGGACGACATACACTGTGTGGCACATGCATCAATTAAACTAACCCAACACGAAAATAAACAGCCGCAAAGCACACAAAGAGGTGTTGTGGTGGAATCACAAATAAAGGCGAAAAAAGATACGAACCAGGATACCGGTCTGCTCCGTCTGTACTTCCATCTGGCTCCTTGATCTGTGAGACGAACTGGTGCAAAGGCGCGGAGAGAATGTGGTTAGACTCCGAGGGAACGACGAGCTATATGCACATGACGGTTATGCATATAGATTGAAGTCCGATGCAGTTCGTGAAAGGAGAGAACAATTTGATCAAACTCTGCACTGCGACAATAGCAAGGGGAAACACACCTTTCCGACATCAGTAACACTCACCGCTCCAGTTAGCCCACCCCAGGACCCGTATCCAGCTCCGTATCCTCCCCCACCATCATCGACAACAGCTACGCTACTCACACCACAGTCGCTCATCAGGCACATTGCGTCAAGCACCGTAGATGAGCTGGTAGCAGCTATGACAGACGTGTACACTTGAAGCGACGGGAGAATAAGTGAGTGCAGGGGGCACGAAAGAAGCGTTGCAAATGTGAAAGTGGGAGCAGGGGGCTGGGGTTGGGGCAGAGCAGTGGGGCGGGAAGCTGTTAAGGCTGATACAGGCTTAGGAGACTGAGACGGTTGGGAAATCTGTATGGAAGGTTGCAATAAAGCCGATAGTCGAGAAGAATGTGGGGATTGCATTGGAGAATGAATGTGTGTAGCGGTGTCCGATTGCTTGGCAAAATTGGCGAAGTATGCCAGCAGAGCGCGGTCGGAGACTGCACCAAGGTAGGTAGTACTTGTTGTTGTCGTCTCTGGAACAGCGTCACACTCTGCGGGAGCAGTGGGTGGGGCGGCTTCGATAAGCACTACATAATACAAAACAAAATGCAACGCGCGGGGATAGGTGTTAGCAGAAGAAACGAATAGGCGGACGGGGGCACTCACCCCTATGCGTTCCCTTCGCAAACACTCCAAGCAGTGAAATAAGGCTGGCGTTATTCGGGAGGGTCTCTAGGTGGTTCTTTTCTGAGAGGTCTGCGAGTGAAAGGGCGTCAATATGGGCGTGGAGGTGGAGGAGGAAGAAGAAAAAGATATGAGGTGACAAAGTCCGTGGCGTAGGACAAGATAAACAAGTCATAAAGCACACCGCCAACATAATGAATAATGGTCAACACATACTGCTAACAAGGTGCACAGGTACACGTCCTTCTCGTGCAGCACTCATAATCTGATCGGCGCGCGAGTTAGCGCGAAACTCTGCGGGCGAGATCGTGTGCCGCGTCGCGGCAAGCGTGAGGAAGGCATTCACATCTGAGAACTATGTGCACATTGTTCAAGTTGTGTTATAGCATAGCATGGTGATGATCCGGACAGAATGGAGGGGCATACAGGTCAGCTTGGACAAGCACAAAACCAAAGAAGAACGCACGTCAAACAGTCCAAGATAAGGTGCACCTGTCCGAGTCGAATCTGGAAGTGCGCGGACAGCGAGACACGGAATGTCTTCCTGCAGAAGGAGCTAGAGAAAGAGAATCAGGGCAGGTGCACTTACTAAGCCCAACGTTGAACTCACATCGCATGCGTCTTCGACGGACATGCCTGCGTCGACTTCAACTATGCGTACATCGACCAAATCTGCGCCATTGTATGTTAGTATTAGGGTCCGGGTTAGAATTGAGAGCAGATATGGAACAACTCGGAGTTGCTGTAAACCTAGACGCACCCTTAGCCAATACACATGCCCACTGCGCAACCCACTTCTCTGCCTCCGCAGCCGGGACATCAGGGGTCGTAGCAACTGTTGGGCTCTGTACGCGCGTGGTCCATGAGATAGATGCTCTTCGCTGTGCCATAGTATGTATCTCGTCCGGTTCTAACTTGAAGAGAGAACGAGTGTCAAAGTACGCCTTGAATGTTCAGATGACAGTTTAAAAGTAGGATGGAGTCAGGCGCTAGGCAAGATGGCAGGGTGATAAGAACTTGTTTAAGAGACCGGGACGGCTCATGTGGTACATGACTTGGATGCATGCCACTCCTCTTATTACGTGGTACTACAGTACTGCCGCCCGGACTTTTCCTTTCCAACACACCAAGATTGATTTTTGACAGTCTCCTGCCACACTTGAAACTCCGAGTCTCACACCACAACTACTCCCCAACATATAATCAGTCGATACACCAGGTCTATCAACGAATTGATAAGAGACGAACGTCACATGTCTGAATACTTGGGCCTAGGGCAAGCCTAGGGTTTCAAACACCCTTTTTCAAAGGCATTGAAATTCCATTACAGGTCTAAGGAACGCGCCGGGAGCCTTGCTAGGAGTGACGTCAGTGAACTCGTGTTTCAATGGGCGATCAAGACACACCGCGAGTGCTATATATACCATGATATCCTGCTCTCTTAACCAGACGAGTGTACGAAATATCATTTGCAGACGAAAGTCATGTTGTAAAACGCTAGCCTCTCTTGGGAAGGGCTCAGTTTTCTCATGGTAGAGGAATCCACGATAACACCCTAACACTCGTATTGACCAATGCCAGTAAGAGCTTTGTTCAGTCTCTCCACGTCACATGGGATAGGATCCAAATAACAGTTATCGCCGAACTTCGGATCAGATACCAGCACAATGATCTTTACGTTAATTAACGGGGATGCTCTTGAGCAGCGCACTAAAAGACTGGGGCATTTTGCTGTTCGAAACAAGGGCAGCACATTTCGACACCTGAAATATTACCCGCATCTCGACAACGACGCAATCACACATGGAGACTCCCAGTGCTCTTAATATGCAGCCACGTCGTGACCACGTAGGATGTATTGTTATCTTAAGCAGCCTGGGGGCAACATCAAGAACAAGTATACAGCGGTTACAGATAAAAATTACTTCGCAGAACACCATCCCTTCTTTACACGGCTCACAGTTTTGCTCTCGGTAAGGGAATTTCATCCATGATAGCACGCGGAAGCTCGTATTGAATCCAATGACCAATTCCAGTAAGAACTCTGGAATTCAATCTCTCCACGTCACGAGGGACGGATTCCAAAATATCGTTAAATTTTGGATCCGATACCAGTACGGTGACCTTGACGTTAGGTGGAATGTCCTTGATCAGCCCACTGAAAGACCACGGCGTATTTTGCTGTTCGAAACAGGGGAAAAATCTGTCAGAAACGCTAGCCATTTCAAGAACTGAAATATTACCCGAAACATCTCTATACCACCAGCGCCATCGTACGTGGCCATACCCAGCACTCTTGACATGCAGTCACGTCGTGACCAAGCGGGATTTTCAGCCATATGCTCTTCTGGAGTTCTGATTCTCGCCAACTCATTCATAACTAATTGTTTGTTCATTTCCAATTTCTCCTCTGTAACCTCGAGGGCAGGATCGAGGAGTATGACAGTGGTATCTTTCGTCTTGGGCAAGAATGGCAAGAGCGACAAGGTCACCGGGCCTCCAAAAGAATGACCGATGATTACGTCGTAGGATGTGCCCATGACGAAATAAGATCGGAGGTCCTCTGCAATGTTGGACACACGATAGTCGGTGCTCTGTCTCCCTGCATGCCCAAGGAGATTTGGAGCAACGACGAAAAACCCTGATCAACAACCTGTTAAAATTGGCTTACTTCATAATATAAGAAACCTGACCATCTGCTACCAATAGCTCAGCGACGCCCTGCCATGATTGTGAGGACATGGTCATGCCATGAATGAGAAGAGCCCGCCTAGAAGCGGTAGGCAAACCCCACTGAGATGCTGAAATGGTCATGTGCACACTTAGATGGCTTGGATGTGTTCGGGACTTGACAACAGAGAAGATTGAAGAGGATCGGCGCTCGCTCTGCACTTAAAAGCTGAGAAGGCACGGTGGAGGGAAAACACATTGTCATAGCAATGGGAGAAAACCGATGAGGATGACATATCTAAATGTGAGTAGCACATCAGGGCATACCGTTGAATCGGTGATTTTGCGTATGTAGCAGATCCGGCCCACCAGTAAGTCCTAGTTCGCTATTTTGGGCGGAGAGAACTTATCTAGCGATTCTAGCGGGTGAGGGAATAGCATCGTACTTTGGAACCGCTGCGTAACTACATTACTCAAGCAACAGGGTCTAAGAAGAATATCAATGGTGACTGTATCATTTGAACGTAGACGAAGACTACACCACAAAAATATATCTTCTCGAGTGCTCGACTCAGAGTTTTGCTCTTCGTAGCGGAATTTCATTCATGATAATATCCAGATCCTCGTATTGAATCCAGTGACCAATTCCGATAAAAACTTTGGCATGCAATCTCGCCACGTCACAAGGGACGTGCTCCAAATGACAAATACCACCGAGCGCCGGATCTGATGCCAGCACAGTGATCGTCACGTGGGGTGGGATGTTTTTGAATAAGCCACTGAAAGACCAGGGACTGTTATGCTATTCACATTAGAGGTGAAATTGTCAGCAATGCTTCTAGTTTGGATACCAGAACTATTACCTTAAATACCCCTTCGACAACAGTACGACCACACATGGAGACTCCTAGTGCTCTTATCAAGCTGTCACCTCGAGACCAAGCAGGGTTCTCAGCCATGTGGTCGTCGGCGGTTCTGACATTTGCAATCTCCTTCAGAAACCAGTTTTCACACTTGTCGGCTGTTTCCTTCGTAAGCTCGATGGCAGGATCGAGGAGTATAACAGTGGTATCTTTTGTGTTGGGCAAGAATGGCAAGAGCGATAAGGTCACCGTGCCCCCAAGAGAATGACCTATAATCACGTCATAGGACATGTCCATGACAAAATACGGTCGGAGGTCCTCTGCAAGAGTGGACACACGATAGTCGGTGCCTCGTCTCCATGCATGCCCAAGGAGATTCGGCGCAACAACAAAGAACCCTGATTAGCCTGTTAAAAATGGAGTATCGTCGCCATAACATTGCAAAACCTGACCTTCTGCTGCTAATAGCTGAGCAACACCCTCCCATGATTGCGAGGACATAGTCAAACCATGAATGAGCAGAGCCCGCCTGGAAGCAGTAGGGGAACCCCACTGAGACGCCGAAATGGACGTGTACATATATACTCGGATGGCTGGGATGTGGTCGAATATCTTTGCGAGCGGTACAACTGGTGGGACGGGCCTGAAGGGGTTAGGAACTTGATCTTCGCTTAAATACTGACGGTGTGACTAAAATGAGAGCGGGAGAAGCGTTGATAATGCACAGGGGTAACGCATACCCTGACCAGTCATGAGACTCTGAGGAATTGAGTGGCAATTAGTATGCCTACCCTTCTGCGAGGACGCTGTCATTCCCTACACATCAAGACAGACTCGGAGGACGGCCCGCATCTAAATGTGTCGGGAAGCCAACAATAGCGCGATCTGCGCATCGACAGAACTCTGAGAGCAGACTGAACGAGGGTGATGACATTTCTGCCTAAATGTGAGAGAAGCATGTTGACCAATAAGTAAATGACAGCGAAGAAATGTTGACCCTACCGCACTAAATCAATGTGGTATCTTATCCTCCTTGCTTCGTCGCGGGGGAGTTGCACTCGGGAGGTAGCCTTGCCACTTGAACGTGTTCGCGCTGCAAACTACATCAATATCTTCTTGCCTGACTTATTAACCTAGGCGGATTAATACTTGCTCGTATCGTGCAGGAGCATGCAGGGGACATTGAACCGGATAGTTTGACATGCAGCTCCAGATGCAACGCTATTTTGTTGGATGTATGTCTCCCCTAGACAGATCACAGACGCAACTTGAAGGAGAAACGTTCTCCGACGTTCTTGAAAAAATGTGTAATCGCAATATTGGATAAATTGCTTTGGCGAGAATTGTCTAGGACTGGCGCTGACTGGCGTAAGATCGGAGCCTCTAATGCCGGACACTCTCGCAACCTTTCAGTTGGATGCTCAGAGCACACTAAGTAAGAGTTGGACGTTCTAAACAATTGGCTATATGATATTAAGGGCCTGGACAGCTGCGTTTATTTCTCAGTTTATTTCTCAGTTTATTTTGTTCGTAACAATATGTACAAACAACCGTGACAAGGTCGGCATATCACGCACTGTATGACATCACACCAAGGCTGAAATGCCTCCAGCTAATGAAATCCAACGGTTCCATATGTTGCAGATGGCAGCCGCAATGATCGCTCAACTTATTATGGGCCTTATAATCGCATATATGACTCCTTTTCTTGAAAGACAGCCCTACCATACATCAGTGCTCACTGGACATGCATGGGTGCAAGAACTCATCAACGGACACCCTGACCAGATCAAAACTGAGCTTGGAATGAGGAAACACGTCTTCCATGCGCTCGTATATGAGCTTCGGACCTCTGGGCTATGTCACTCGAAATATATTCTGCTTGATGAGCAAGTCGCTATCTTTCTCTATACATGTGTGACAGGGCTTTCAAGCCGTCATGTCGCAGAACGTTTTCAGCACTCGCACACAACCACACAGAAGTACGTCCATACTATTGCAATATATTCATTGCCTCACATGCCACATCAGATATTTCAAGAAAGTCCTGCTCGCTCTGTCTTCGGCTCCCTTCTACAACAAATTCGTCTATCTACCACAAGAGGATGCACCTATTCCACCAGAAATATCTGGGAACCCAAAATTCTTTCCGCACTTTCAAGGGGCACTTGGAGCCATGGATGGTACACACATCGCATGTTGTCCGTCCGCGGCAGAAAGGCAGCTGTCTCGAAACTGAAAAGGTTTCGTCAGCCAAAACTGTCTTGCATGCTGCTCATTTGATCTTTGGTTCCAGTATGTGCTCAGCGGTTGGGATGGATCGACCTCAGACTCAACTCTATACAATAACGCCCGTCTCACCGACCTATACATTCCACAAGGAAGGTACTTCCTTGCGGATGCTGGGTTTGGAATATGCTACTCGCTTCTCGTTCCGTACCAAAGTGTTCGGTACCACTTGGCTGAGTGGGGTCGAGCTGCAGTTCGGTGAGTGATATCTCACTCGAACTATTGATTTTCTCATCGACGGCAGGCCAAAAAATTCAAAAGAAATATACAGCCTTCGGCATGCTCAGGCTCGAAATGTGATCGAGCGAATATTCGGCGTTCTCAAGAGGCGGTTCACAATACTCGTACATCCACCAGAATATAGCATGTTGACTCAAGCCTGAATTCCCCCAGCACTTTGTGCCATTCACAACTTCATCCGAATTTTCGATCCGAAGGAAATAGAAGAATTCGCCGTCGAGGATCTCATTGACCCTGATCCAGGCGAGTCAAGGGGCGTTCTTGCTGAAGGACTGGCGGGCCGTACTGAAAGGCAAAAGGCGACAGAGGAGAGAGATGGTATTGCAGATGCTATGTGGAGGGACTATCATAGAGTGTGTCGCGCTCGTCAGGACATGACAGGATGAGTACATAACACCTATACTACCTAGTAGATCTACTTGTTGATAGATTTGATCTTGTGGTCAACAAAAGACCTCCTTGGCCCTTTGTCGGACATGACCATATATGCATCAGCGGCGCTGACGTCCACCTGAAAAGCTTCGATAAGTGCAGCCATGTCGTCGTCGTCGAGATGTGTTTCTAGTAGTTGAGCACGCCGCATTGCTGCCTGCTTGCGCTGAGGCGATAAGGTGATAGCCAATTTTTCCGATTGTGTAGCTACACGAAAGACGTCAGTGAACTCTGAAAATTGATCATTAATTGCATAGAGTGCAGTGGCTGATCCGCTGGCACGCTGACGTTTCGATTGCGGACCAGAAGAACAAGATCTAGTTGAAGGGGTAAACAATAGAGTTGAAGACACGGCAGCGAATTTTCGTTTTGAGAGAGGAGGAGGAGGAGGAGTCGCTTCCCAAGGAATGATATCGTCTTCATCGTCATCCAGCCCAGTTGAGTCTCTCTCCACAATCCTCTCAATGTCTCCCTCAACTGCTAAGCCTCCCAAGCCTCCCAAGTCTCCCAAGTCTCCAAAGTCTCCCAAGTCTCCCAAGTCAGGCGCTACAGGCTCATTCTCCACAGCATCAACACCCGGGCCTTTGTTGCTGACGTCGTATTGTGATTGGAACGTTTCCTGGCCTGCGTGAAAAGCATTGGTGCCGTGTGGGATCTGCGTGCGCAAAAGGTCGTCCATCTCGTCGAAGTGTTTCCAACCTTTGTTGCGGAATGGCCTTGTATTGGGACACGCATTTGCAAATGCAGTCCAACGTGCAGCGTCGGCTGGGCCAATATTTGCGCCGAGTTCGTCGTCCCACGAAAAGCCTGATTGCGATTTGATATCGACAATAGCGGTATGCTTTTTCTTGCACTGCGGTAGTCAGAATTGAATCGATTTGAAAAATAATAATAAATGTACCGTGATCCATTTGTTCTTGCATGACAGCCCATCCCTTTTGATTCCAGCTACATGGTCCTCCTTTGGAATGCCGTCCAGGGGCTTCAATAAATAAGCCGCTGCAGCGGTAAAGGTTGACTGTTTGAAGTTAGTACCATCTCCACCTTCAGCGCGATGAAGTGTGAGATACTGAATGAGGCGGGAGGTCTCTTCATCAGTCCAGTGAGTGGTAGCTGGGCCTGCACTAGTAGTACCAGTGTTCGCAGATGTACTCTTCCGTTTCGCCATGACTTGGCAGTATGGAGTCTGGACGCTGATAGAGTCACACGCGAGTCACAGCTTGTCACTCGTTGCCACGCCACAATAGAAATAAACTGAGAAATAAACTGAGAAATAAACGCAGCTGTCCAGGCTCTAAGGTGAAGGTGTTGCTTGCTAAGACTCTGTAGCGCTGACTCAGCTCTGTCTTGGACGTGACGCGTGACGGAATTGGCTACGGTAGCATTACTTCCGAACTACTTCAAATTTCAAAATTGTTTACCGGAAGACAACTACTCGCCGCCCGCATCAAGCTAGCCTACTGACGAGAATATGTCGACGATGAAGGGAAGTCGTTGTGTACATGTCTAGTTTGTGATGCAGACTGTCTGTGCGTAGGGACTACCCTCTGCTGTGGCTCATGACTTAAGCGGTCACGATGATGTCTGCTCTCAAGCTACAAAGCCTTCTTCAGCCATAAGCCAATCAAATCTCATCTCCATCTCTTGATTTTTTGCCTCCGGTGCTAGCCAACCTGATGTAATGGTAGCAGATTTCCTTGTACTCGAGGAGTTGACCATATCCATGGACAGTACTGGTTCCATTCTCATGCCAGCGGCTATTGCCCGCTCTATTCTCGCAATTTCCATTCGCTCTAAGATAATAGACCTTATTATTCGACCTCGACTACTTATCTGCCTTCAATTTACCATGGGCCTGCCTCACAAATGTCGAGATCCAGGTACAGGAAGTAACGCATTCCCCCGCTTGCTCCATCTATACCCCGACTTCTCCTCCTCAATGATTGTTACGGTATTCACGGAAATGGAGGCCTTGGAACTTCACCCCCTAATCTATGCGCGCTGAGCGCTCGAAGCTAGCTATGTACGACTATGGCCTTATGAGGAGTTCAAGGCGTTTTTGACACAGTCAAACCATCCCCCGGAGTGCCTGATCTTCAACGCTGGAGTGATGACAACAGGTGAGCAACAAACGGAATATGTTGCCCTTATTCGTTACCTCGAAGTAGTAACGGATTCTATGTAAAATTGTTTTCAACTTAGAAAGACAGCTGTTTCACCCTATGTCTTACTCATCTCATGAGAGCTGTAATGTCGCACTGCGAGCCAATCTTGCTGTACGCTTGGGTCTAGACATTGTACAAGTTGTAAGGTAGCTCACCATTACATAAATTGTGGCTCCTTGGGCGGCGTGTGGAAAGCCGTTTTAAACACCGCCAATGGCCAGTGGCAGCCACTTCTATCAAGAACAGTGCATGACTTTTGGAAGACCTGCGAGTGGATTACAGCTGGCTGCGGTGGTAAGTACCATAAACTAGTATTAGTACTTGACACCAGATCTTGGCATGCTGACCAGTCGGATCAGATCGGCAGAAGTTTCATCATCCACGAAATCATGCCAGAACTTAAAGCTTGAATACAGCATCATAAATCCTCGGATGTACGTTGTGCAACCTTCTCCTGGCCAAAGGCTGTTCCGGGCTTTAGTCTTTGTCAACTTTAGCGAGTACCACACATGCCACATATGCAAATAAACAGCAGCCTTGGCAGGCGACCGGTCGTAGGAAGGAAGGCTCAAAAACGGTGTACCTATCGTTTATACTCTTTGGACTTCGTGCCCTATGATTGCACACGTTCAGCCACAAGACGCCATGACCAGCGCAGAAACCAAGTCCATTTACATTCGAGACTTACCTCCCCCTTTGGACATAACGAGCCATCGAGATCCTCTTGCAACGAGCATGTCCTTCCATCTTCCAACATTTCTCCAGCTCAGAAGTGAGCCAGCCAACGGATCCGGCGTTTGCAATGTCATAACATCTTCCGATGGACATCTCAAACTTAGTGCTACTATGTCTGCCGAAAAAGTTCAAACGGAGAGGTATAACAAAAGGAAGTTCATGTAGGTCGGCATTTGAGATGGCTTAGCATGACTGACCGACTGACCACTGGCATGCAGTCCGAGAAACACTAAGAATTACATCATCCCGTGTATGACGACGGATCCTATCAAGTAACACATCTTCATATTGCCACTTTAGTATCTCATCCATTCTTTTAGGAGACCAGTTCCTCCTGGTTGGCAAATTTACATTCATCCTGAAGGCTGCCTCTATTACTGTTATGACAGTGTGGTGGATTTTCACGGGTATTCAAGGAGAATTCACATCATAACTCAGGCGGATCTCGTTCATGACGGCATTGCTGAGACAATCGAGAACCTTGCAAAGCTCGCCTACAGTCATGCCTATCAATATCCTTCTTTCCCGGTGAACGTAGACCTCGTGTTGGAACTTATGGACGTCAGAGAAACCATTACAGCAGGCTATTATTTTGTGCACCACGAGAACAGGTGTCTGTTCTGGTTGCAGGACTTCAATGCCACCGGCATCTTACGGGAATGTTGTGGGGTCACCGAACTTTCTCATATCCGTCAGTTCTTTGGACTCGTGCTTGACCGTGTCTGATAAACTTGTAGAAATCGAGTTGGAGGCTCAGTACTGGTACGCGCTACAGTCGTTTGTGAGTACATTCGATGTATGCTTCACTGCCAGAATGTATTGTACTGATTGCATCAGTCGAGGCATGGTGACTGCTCACGCAAGTAGGAAACATATCGACCTGTTTCCGCACACAAGTTCTCTCCACTCTCAGGCCCTTCAACAGTTGCAGCAGATCATCCGTTTTGCGATAAGCGGTAAGCTCTTTACCATCAGGACATCATACGAGAGCTTGATTGTGCGTTTCAGATTGCATGACTTCGGAGGTGTCGGCGGTCTGCGCGTTCAGCATTGATGTCCTCAAGAACACTCTGGATCTCATCAAAGATGTGGATGGTAGGTCACACCAACTCCCGAGATCGCAAAACTCATTGTATATCAAGTGGAGAACGATTGGGTTCAGTCGGCACATGACAAATGTTTCATTGGCAAGTAGTCGTATTTCGCACGCAGTAAATCGAAGTTCATGACGTCGTAACCATTAGCGAGGATGATGAACCATTTTAGTACGTGACCTAATTCTAGTTTAAGATGTTTTCCAATCTCATGCACCAGGACACTGTCAATACCTCAACTATCACGGGCAGCAAGGCGCGCGGCTCTCCCGAGATCAGACTGTACACGACGACTCCTACGAGGAGCGGTCCATGATGATGAGATGTCTTGCACCCTTACTCTTCAATGCCCCTTATGAGCACGTCCGCTCTCTTCACAAACTCTACGTCGACTCCATAGTTAATCAGCTCGACTGGCGCACCTTCGTTCAGAAGCTGAACGCCGAGATGCAGGACTTCAATCTGCTTGTGAGCTCATTAATTTTGCGATATGTGGATTATGTTGACACGTCGATGGTCAGGCGACAGTGCTCTTGAGTGTCAATGTTGGTTTTCTAGCGATTCAGAGCGTAGATCACGGTAGGGGACATTCTTTGTCACAGGTCGCGAGCTATGTTTCTGTGATCTCAAGTTTTGGGAGCATGCTGCTTGGTGTGAATATTGCGAGACAAAGCTACACGCGAGGTCCAGACATGGTTGATAACGCGGTGCGTCTTCTTACAGCTCGCTTAGTGGCCGTCTCCAATAAACGTATCCGATTAGCAAGCACGCCTGGAGAGCTTAGTGCACCCAAAGCACGGCCTCGAGACGCTTGCAATCATATACAGCCTACCGTATGCTTTACTCATGTGGGGGTACGTTTGACCACAGCCTCCCCTATCAATTTCAAGTTATTCACTACACCTGATAGGATGATATTTTTCGTGCTTGCATTCTTTACTGAATGTTTTCGTAACTCGAGCGCGGTCCCTGTGAGTGTGGCGGCACTTATTGTGCTGGTGCTTGTCGGATGGTCTTGTTACACGTTGGGAGACAGTGTGGAGCGTGGGCACTTGTTTGGCAGCGTGATTACGGCAGTACAGTGGATCAAGAATCTACCCAGATGGGTGGTGCGCTCAGTTTCCGCCCATGACATAGGTGAAGCCGAATGACAAAGAATCAGCTGGGAGTGCATTGAGCTATGGTGGGAAATTCCGCTGGACGTTCAAGTTGCCTGGACCGTTGAACTAGTAACCCTGTCGGTTTACATTATTCTGAATGCAATACTATTTCGTGAATCTCGAATTTTGTTTTGGGTGTTATGTGTTCACCTAGCTGGGGTCTACCTATTTACAAAGGGATTCCTCCTCACCTGACTCGTACTCCCTGACAGAAGTGCAGCTGTACTTCATTCGTTGCCGACAAAAAAGCAGTGTTGCTCGCGGTACAGTGGGTTAAAAAGCTTTTCTGCCCATGCGCCTCGGTAAGCGAAACCGAACGAAAAGAATCACAGCGGGAGTACTCCCCGAATTGGCTAAGGTCCGCGACGGTACAATTACTTCTGAACTACTTCAAATTTCAATCTCCATCTCCAACATCTCAACGTTCTCCTTTACCTTGTAAAAGTGTTCGTCCTAGAAGCAATGTTATGCCAGCCCAGAGGCCAATTTATCGTCAGTCCCAGGTGTCACTTGTGCATTGCAGTTACGGTAAATATTCGGTTTTGTAGGCACTGGTGCCCGACTCAGTATGTCTGATAAAAGTCAAGCACACGATGCCAGTACGGTAACAAGGTTGGGTCAACATGGTAGAACGCTCTAAGATCCACATGTCCCCTCCAACCTGGCGTGCCACTTCTCGCGTACAGCCTCCCGCTAATGCTTTTGACCTTGGCGCTTAGTGCAATCATGCTAGCGTCTATTGCGCTGAACAGTCATCGACAATATGGAAATACACGTGCAGCACGACCTGAACCCTCAATTTCTCTACTCCCCCTCACCTGAACTTCATACACAGTCCCCGTATCCCTACCATCCGTCTTCTCCTACTGTTTATTCCACTCACCGCTCAGCCTATCCTCGATCTTACTTCATCGCGCCATCATGCCCAATAGCTTGGAAGGCCAATTTATCAGACTCGAAGGTGAGCGCTCCATATCACCTTCGCATCTGTTTCATGATCCTTACAATCTATCTACAGTCATCAGCGGAAAACATCTTCAAGTGCCTTCTGAGCGCGCACCCGCAGGCATCTACGTATCCATCAATGTTGACTCGAGGAGACGCTGGAAATCAGCTATCAAAGTCTTATCATCCGACGAATCTGTAGCATGGGGCGATACCGCGACCTTGTAAAGTCCATGGAGACTTTCGGACGCGACTCGAGGACTGATCTTCTGTTTTTGTAGATCATTAGATGCTTCATCCAAATTATCACTGGACATCAGGGCATCTTTCGAACTCAATCGAATGCTGGGCAGCGGGGAACTCATCGGAGAACTCGAGGTGACGTGGGATGAGCTACTCGATCACGGAGACGAGCCTTTCAGTGAGTAGCTAGCTTCTCATTCGCGCACAGCTACTAATATCTGGTAGATCTCTCATTCCCGCCCGTTCGTGGGGGATGTCCTTCCCTCATGCTGAAGGCCGCTGTTGTACATTCTTGCGACAATCAGGACAGCGCACTACTTTACGTGAGTGATATCAGCTGTGCTGTTGGATTTTGCTGACGGAATGCCAACTGTAGTCCACAGCAGAATGCGAGATTGATCGAGACACAGATGCAGGCCACGCCCGATTTGCCGAATATGTTTCAAGCGAGAGAGTCTCTCACCTGAACGATGCTGTAGAGCATTTTCAGTCGGTTCTAGACCAGTGTCCGGTCGACCATCCTGACCGTGCAGCGGTTCTCACCAACCTCGCGTGGGCCCGCCTCAAAAGCTATATTGAAGGGGATTTCCAAGACATTGACTCCGTCACTTCCCTCTTCCGCGAAGCCCTTGCATTGCGTCTGCAGGGTCACCCCGATTATCCATTATCGCTCTATTACCTCGCCGAAGCGCTGACCTGGCGCTACAGCAAGGAGGGCACCGCAATCTATATCCAGGAATCCGCGCAGCTGTACCGCAAGCTACTACCTCTCTGTCCCGAGGGCACCTACCTTCGCACCATCGCGGCAGGGGAAAATGGCGTCGATTATGTGATCGGTGAATGCAACAATCTTCCAACCGACGCATCCGATGAAGGCATCCACCTCCGACGAATCGTGCTCCAACTTTGTCCTCCGGGTCATCAATACCATCCAGACGCACTCAACCAGCTTTCGAGTGCTCTCCAATTACGCTTTCGACAATGCGGCAGCATTGATGACATAGACGAGAGCATACGAGTTGGTCGCGAAGCTGTTTCTCTATGCCCCGAGGAACATACCAGCCGTGCTACCTATTTGAAAATCTTGGGCTACTCACTCCGACACCGCTTTGATCACCAAGGCAGATCCCATGACCTTGATGAAGCCATCTGTGTATATGAAGAAGCGCTGCGCATGTGCCCTGTTGGGCACAAAACTCGTTGTCTATCATTGGACACCCTAGGGGGCGCCCTCCGCGTCCGATTTATCAAACGTGGTGATGTTGATGACATTAACAAAGCTATCAGCCTCCGTCGCGAGGCACTGATGTTGAGCCCACCTGGGCATCCACATCATGACACCGCGCTTAACAACCTTGCTATCACGCTCAAAATCAGATATAACGAATTGAATGTCAGCGAGGATCTCGACGAGGCCATCAATCTTTACCGCGAATCGCTTCGGTTAACGCGGCTTGAAGATCCACAGCGTCCTAGAAATCTCTCCAATTTGAGTTCGGTACTTCGCTCTCGTTTCACAAAAACTCAGAAGAATGAAGATATCGAGGAGGCCATTCGACTCTGCCAAGAGTCGTTGGAGGCTTTACCTTCACTGCACCCAGACAGATCTTCTAGTTACGTGTGGTTGCAGGAAGCTTACTTGTCTCGTTACCGAGTGCAACGCAAGTCTGCTGATTTGTCACTCGCTGTAGAGAACTTCAGATTGGCATCACAACACCCAACTCAGGGATTTCCAGAACGCATAAAGGAGGCTATTGATTGGGCTCGCCAAACAGAGGTCTATCAACAACAATCTGCCCTCGAAGCGTACAAAATATGCTTGGAACTTATTGACAACCACATGATGACACGATCATCAATCATCTCACGACGCGAGGCAGCAACCGCTTTCCACGGTGCACAGTCACTGCCAGTAGATGCAGCCTCATGTGCCATCCGTCGTAACAATGTACGACAGGCAGTCAAACTCGTGGAGCAGGGCCGTGGCCAGCAGTGGTCGCTGGCCTCGCGACTCAGAACACCGCTCGAAGACCTCGAGTCCACGAGTCCCGAGCTAGCTCGCAAGCTCTCAGAGCTCAGAAAGAGCCTTTCTGATGCTCAGGGTTCCGCAGCCAGCACAGACAGAGCTGCTGCTGATCGGACAGCAACCGAGTACAGGCGACTTACAAGGCAATGGGACGCTGCAGTGGCTGAAATCCGTAATCTTCGGGCGTTCTCACGATTCCTGCTCCCACTTTTGTATGAAGACTTGCAAGCGGCAGCGCGCCAAGGCCCAGTCATCATTTTCATCGCCAGTCAATATTCGTGCAGCGCCATCATCGTCCCGACATCAGGAGAGCCCCATCATGTTCCCTTGCCATCTGTTACTCTCACAGATCTGAATAATCTCAAGGATCGCTTCGCCAGGGCGATACGACACGCATCTACGATGGGCCCAAAAGTGCCGCGTAACGATCTAATAGTCCTCTTGCGGACAGTATGGAACGAGATCATGCTACCCATCATCAATGTCCTCCAGCATGTCCTGAAGTTAAATTCCCTCTCTCGAATCTGGCTGTGTCCGACTGCAGCTTTCACGTCTATTCCTCTGCACGCAGCTCACCCCTTTCAAACGAACGCAGATCGCTCTAAGGAACCATGCCTGGAGGATCTCTTTATCTGCTCTTACACGCCAACACTTTCAGCTCTAGTCAGATCTAGACGGATGATGAAGAAGCGTGTCGCTCCATCCTTCGCGACAATCGGACAAGGTCAACCTGGTGCAGGGAAAGGCAAGGCACTCTTGGCTGTCGACAGCGAGGTCGAGCTTGTCCGAAAGCTCGTTCCTGAGACAGCCAACCGCACCAATATTTCTGGGGACGCAGCCACACGAGCAGGTGCACTCGAAGCTTTGGAAGAGAACACCTGGGTGCACCTTGCCTGTCATGGCAAGCAGGACCCTACGCAGCCTTACGATTCGCATTTCGTCATGAGAGATGGACCTCTGACGCTGCTTGATATCATGGAGAAAGACATTCCGCACGCAGAGTTCGCATTCTTATCCGCTTGTCATACCGCCGTTGGCGATAAGGAGACGCCCGACGAAGTGATTCACCTCGCAGCTGGTCTCCAGTTTTCGGGGTTCAAGAGCGTCAGTTGGAACGCTGTGGGAGGTCGACGACGCTGTCGCAAAACATGTTGTCGAGGCTTTCTACAAGAACATGTTCAAGGATCTGGAGGAGGGTGGTGAGATGGACTGTACGAAGGCAGCCTGGGCACTCAATCGTGCTACACACGCCGTGAAGACGAAAGTGCCGCTCGAGCAGAGGATGGTTTTCGTTCATATTGGTGTGTAGTTCTATCTCGCATAGCTTTCATCCCAGGCTCTAGTACGAATATTTCATCTCGTTGGTGTACTTATTGTAAGATTGCCCTGATACTTGCTTCTCATCGATATCTCCTCGTGTAATTGTATACTCTTAGAATAGTCTTTCGAACCTTCATTCATCGTTCAAGTGTTTGAAGTATGTTCTTCGTGCACTATCAGAAGAAACGTACCCGGAACAGTGAGAACGCTAGTACTTGGATTCGACTTATTGCAGGACTAGATTCCGAAGGTTCCTCCAGTGGTGAGAACGATCTTTATATTTGGTGGGGATACTGCAAGTAGTTTCGATCATCGGTTTCACTTCTTTATGTGCTTGAGTCTAGCGGGCACGGCGCTCAGCCCCCGAACCACCACCTGGTCCTTCCCTGTGAGTCGCGACCTCTGTTCGAAAGCGTTAAGTATAATTACCGTCAGCACAACGGGAATGTAGATGGTACCAAGTGAGCATCACAAATTTTTATCTCTCATAGAATAGTTCCTGACTCGGAATAATTTCTTGGGAGTTGGTGCATTTTCTGCCCATGCGCCTCGGTAAGCGAAACCGAATGAAAAGAATCACAGCGGGAGTACTTCCCGAATTGGCTAAGATCCGCGACGGTACAATTACTTCCGAACTACTTCAAATTTTACATCTCCATCTCCAACATCTCAAGTTTCTCAATGTTCTCCTTAACCTTGTAAAAGTGTTCATCCTAGAAACAATGTTATGCCAGCCCAGAGGCCAATTTATCGTCGGTCTCAGGTGTCACTTGTGCACTGCAGTTACGGTAAATATTCGGTTTTGTAGGCACTGGCGTCTGAATGGCAGTGAATATAATAATTCACTCGCTTCCTTGTTGATCATGGTGACGAGGTGCCAGACTTCAAAACCCCCTGCTCCACAGCCAGCCGTCGCTACTCTGTCTACAAGCTCACATACCGGACCACCAGCAATTGGATGTAGGTACTCACGAGCTCTCACCGTTTCAGGCCTTCAAACAGTCACGGATAGTAAGTATCGGCAATCTTCACCGGCGACTCGCCGAATAAAAGACTAAGATCATCCAGTCCAGAATTTCGCACAGGAGACTTGCATCTGCTCTTTGGCGCTTATTCAAGTTAACCGAGATCCTATCTCTCGTTTTTGTTTACTGGAAGACAACTCCTTATCGCCTGCATCAAAGTTGGTTCCCAGGCTGCTGACAAGAATATATCGACGATGAAGGGAGGTCGCTTGTGCATGTCCTCTTTGTGGTACAGACTATCCGTGGGCAAGGACTAGCAGCGGGTAGCCTTCTACTGTGGCTCATGGCTTAAGCGATCACGACGACGTCCGCTCGAGGAGTTGACTATATTCATGGACAGTTCCAATCTCATGCCAGCTATTGCCTGCTATGCGACGCTGCGGAACCGTTTGTCCCAAGTCTCGTACGCTCGGTTGGAATCTGGACCCCCCACACGTCGACTGACCGTTGACAAGCCTCCTGGAATAGACCAACAAAGCGCGCAGTTGAATGATGATGATGATCCTATATTATAGGCAATAGTGTCTACGTATGTTCTAAGTAACGCAGAACGACATTCTTTTACAAAATCTAAAGGGTATGATTACTATCGGTACACGTGCAATTCTGTTCGTAGTTTGCACATAAATGAGGGAGATTGAGGGATATCAAGAAAGGAGATGCCGCGGGACAGACTAAGAAAAGTTCTGCCCTGTCGGTCTTTGCGTCGTACTGCCCTTTATTTGACGGACCGGGCGTCCGCAAGGAGGTGGATGTACGGAGAGCACACGCTGCGGCGGGTGAACTTTCCTGTGATGAACAGTGTTATCTGGCATGCTTCTGGTTTATGTGCAGGATGGCAGTGTCTTGTCGGGTCTTGCGGATGATTGTACGTATAACACCTACACTGGACTGCGGGGATGATGACTTCTGGCAGGCAGCCATTCAAGTCGGATGATATGCCGGCCCAGTCCAGCGCAATAATTTCAATCGAGCGAGCCGCAACCTCCAGCAAAAGCTGCTCGAATGCATTATGCTTCTTCTCGCCATAGATGGTAGATAGATGGGCGGTTAGGATACGAGACGATAAGCATATAACATCCTTTACGGATATGGGTCTCTCTTGGTGCTGCAAAACGAATGTCAAGAATGGGACAAGTATGAATCAACATGACTTACCTTTGCCGCTGACATTAGTGGCATCCAGGTAGGGTACACCGCCGGCGAGCATCGCCGACTCGTAGCTGGGCTACCCCAAATAGAATCTGGTGAGAGGTCCAGTAACCCAGTGAGCCTGACGGAATGATTGCAAGCATAGCAAAATGGACTAACGTTTGCTGACTCGCGGTGACATTGACTCAGATGATATTGATGAGTCCCCATGATCCACTTGAAAGGGAGGATCAATCAGCTGGGTGTAAAGGCTCAGAATTGTCAGACCAGAGTGGAGATGGAATTGTTGAATGAGATTGTAGAGCCATGACAGATGATCGATATCCCTCAATACCACCCGAATATTGTCTTTATATTTGCGAGCCATTCTGGCTGTACGCTTAGATCTTGATTCTATTACACTTGGGCACTGCATGTGGAAAACACCGCCCGTGGCCAGTGCACCGCCAAGAGTGAATTGCAGCAGGCCGGGGGGGTAAGTGCGTCTACTACAAATAGTATTAGTGATCTTGGCAATGAAGTTGGCATGCTGACCAACATCATCCACTGGATTACGCCAGAACGCCTTTCCAGCGGAATCGGCAACCTGTGCAGTTGCCGATTGCTCTGGATAGTACTTGAATACAGCATTCAAGTACTCGTCCTCTGTCCCTCCGTGCGGTCCGTTCCCGTCTTGGGCTTGGGATGATGGCAGATGCTGCTGGCTGGGGTCGCGTCCTTCTCGTTTGGGACCTTTGGGTGGTGCGTGGTGTGGTGGCGGTGCCAGATTTGTCAGCCTGGGCTGGACCGTCAATTTGCAGGTGAATAAGTGCTTCTTCGGACGTACGTTCTGTTGCCAACCTTCTCCCGGCCAAAGGCCGTTGCGGACTTTCAAATATCATCTTTGGCAACTTACTACACATGCCACATATCCAAACAGCAGCCTTGGCAAGGAAGGAAGGCACATGGACGGTTTATTCGTCTATACTCTTCGGACTTCGTGCCCTATGACTGTACACGTTTAGCCACAAGACACCATGACCAGCGCAGAAACCAAGTCCATTTACATTCGAGACCTGCCTCCCCCTTTGGACACAGCGAGCCACCGAGATCCTCTTGCAACCAGCACGTCATTCCATCTTCCAACGTTTCACCAACCAAGAAGTGGGCCTGTGCTAGCTGGCAACGGGTCCGGATTTTGCAATGTCATAACATCTTCCGATCGATATCTTAGACTCAGTCCTATGTCCGCCGAAGGAGTTCAAGCGGAGAGATATGACAAAAGGAAGCTCATGTAGGTCGGCGTTTAAGATGGTGTACCATGTCCGACCGACTGACCGCTGGTACGCAGCCCGAGAAACACTAAGAATTACACCATCCCATTTATGACGACAGATCCTATCGAGTAACACATCTTAACATTGCCACTTTAGTATCTCACCCATTCTTTTAGGAGACCAGTTCCTCCTGGATGGCAGATTTATATTCATCCTGAAGGCTGCCTCTATTACTGTTATGAGAGTGTGGTGAATTTTGACAGGTATTCAAAGAAAATTCACGTGATAACACAGGCAGATCTCGTTCATGACGGAGTTGCTGAGACAACCGAGAACCTTGCAAAGCTTGCCTACAGTCATGCCTGTCAATATCCTTCTTTCCCGGTGAACGTAGACCTCGTGTTGGAACTTATGGACGTCGGAGAAACCATTACAGCAGGCTATTATTTTGCGCACCACGAGAACAGGTGCCTGTTCTGGTTACAGGACTTCGATGCCACCAGCATCTTGCGGGAATGCTGTGGGGTCACCGAACTTTCTCATATCCGTCAGTTCCTTTGGACTGGTGCTTGACCATGTCTGATGAACTTGCAGAAATCGAGTTGGAGGCTCAGTACTGGTACGCGCTATAGCTGTTTGTGAGTACATTCAATGTATACTTCACTACTAGAATGTATGTACTGATTACATCAATTGAGGCATGGTGACTGCTCACGCAAGTAGGAAACATATCGACCTGTTTCCGCACACAAGTGCTCTCCACTCTCAGGTTCTTCGACAATTGCAGCAGATCATACGTTTTGCGATAAGCGGTAAGCTCTTTACCATCGGGATATCATACGTGAGCTTGATTGCGTGTTTCAGATTGCATGACTTCGGAGGTGTCGGCGGTCTGCGCTTTCAGCATTGATGTCCTCAAGAACACTCTGGATCTCATCAAAGATGTGGATGGTAGGCCACACCAACTCCAGAGATCGCAAAACTCATTGTATCTCAAGTGGAGAACGATTGGGTTCAGTCGGCACATGACAAATGTTTCATTGGCAAGTAGTCATATTTCGCACGCAGTAAATCGATGTTCATGACATCATAACCATTAGCGAGGATGATGAACCATTTCAGTACGTGATCTAATTATGGTTTAAGATCTTTTCCAATCTCCTGCACCAGGACACTGTCAATACCTCAATTATCACGGGCAGCAAAGCGCGCGGCTCTCTCGAGATCAGACTGTACATGGCGACTCCTACGAGGAGCGGTCCGTGATGATGAGACGTCTTGCACCCTTACTCTTCAATGCCCCCTATGAGCACGTCCGCTCTCTTCACAAACTCTACGTCGACTCCATAGTTAATCAGCTCGACTGGCGCACCTTCGTTCAGAAGCTGAACGCCGAGATGCAGGACTTCAATCTGCTTGTAAGTTCATTCTCCGTTGATTTTGCGATATACGGATCGTGCTGATACGTCGATGGTCAGGCGACAGTGCTCTTGAGTGTCAACGTTGGTTTTCTAGCGATTCAGAGCGTAGATAGCGGTGGGGGACATTCTTTGTCGCAGGTCACGAGCTATGTTTCTGTGATCTCAAGTTTTGGGAGTATGCTGCTCGGTGTGAATATTGCGAGACAAAGCTACACGCGAGGTCCAGACATGGTTGATAACGCGGTGCGTCTTCTTACAGCTCGCTTAGTGGCCGTCTCCAATAAACGTATCCGATTAGCAAGCACGCCTGGAGAGCTTAGTGCACCCAAAGCACGGCCTCGAGACGCTTGCAATCATATACAGCCTACCGTATGCTTTACTCATGTAGGGGTACGTTTGACCACAGCCTCCCCCTATCAATTTCAAGTTATTCACTACAGCTGATAGGATGATATTTTTCGTGCTGGCATTCTTTACTGAATGTTTTAATCACTCGAGTGCGGTCCCTTCAGTTCCTGTGAGCGTGGCGGCGCTTATTGTGCTGGTGCTTGTCGGATGGTCTTGTTACACGTTGGGAGACAGTGTGGAGCGTGGGCACTTGTCTGGAAGCGTGATTACGGCAGTACAGTGGATCAAGGATCTACCCAGATGGGTGGTGCGCTCAGTTTCCCCCCATGCGCCTTGATACATAAGTGAAGCCGAATGACAAAGAATCAGCTGGGAGTGCTTTGAGTTATGGTGGGAAATTATAAAAACCCCGCTGGACGTTGCCTGGACCGTTGAACTAGTGACGCTGTCGGTTTACATCATTCTGAATGCAATAATATCTTGTGAATCTCGAATTTTTGTGGGGTGTTATGTGTTCACCTAGCTGGGGTCTACCTATTTACAAAAGGATTCCTTCTCACCCAACTCGTACTACCTGGCAGAAGTGTAGACACTTGTACTTCACTCCCTACCGACAAAAAAGCAGTATTGCTCGCAGTACAGTGGGTCAAGGAGCTTTTTTGCCCATGCGCCTCGGTAAGCGAAATCGAACGAAAAGAATCACAGCGGAGTGTTTCCCCGACCGCCACCTTAGTGGAGGAGGGTCTTTATCAGTAAAATACATCTAAGTTCCCAGCACAAACGTTATACACTTAGATACATAAAAAATCTACTATGTAACCGAAGCAAAAATTTCAGATCTGTGAGACGTGAATCATGTGCTAACGTTCTGAAGTAAAATTGATCTCACCTCCAGAAGCCATGCACTAGGTGTCAGTAGGCTCTACAAGGGCCTCTTGGGAAGCAACTTGATAATTCGGTCCGGCTTGACATCATAGCGGGCAGAATTCAAGTGCCAGTGAAGTGAGCCGACCATGAAGTTCTGTAGCCCTTCGACGTAGATAGCCACCTGCCTGTCGACCTCTTTTTCCCACGAGGGAAGGATAGCACGGCTAGATTCAAAGCGCTGAATGGCATCTTTGCACATCTGGCCAGCATAGTCGATGGCGCCTTGCAGATCTAGTCCTCGATCGTGCATGAGCACAGCAACTATGTTTTCCCAGGGTGCGCTACCGCGAGATTGCTCCTTGTTGTATGACAAAATATCCTGTTGGCAGTAATGTCAGCGGCACCCCAGCGTTCGACGACAGAACAGGATTACGTTGGCCCAAGCAACATAATCGCCGATCGCATCCTCCAAGGCCTTGATAACTGGATGCGACATGACTTCGTCGGGAAGATCAATTCGAGCTACGAACTCGATGATGGAAAAGGAGAACTTGTGCGCGACTAGATCTCGCCTCAGGGCGATGTAAGATTGCGGATCATACACATTTCCTTTGCCCACCTGCTTAGCCACAGCAGCGAAGAACAGTTCGACTCCGTGGATAAACCGCTCCGTGCAGCCGGGACCGGCAGTCTCCCTAAAGCGGCTGAAAACCCTAACCGCATAACGACTTTCAGAATGAGTGTATGCGATGTAAAGAAATGGTCGTACGATTTGCCCATCTTTGCACTAAGCTGTTCCGTGTCAAAATTGGGATCGCGGAGTGCAAGAATACAGGATTCACGCGTTTCCTGTACATCGACGACACCATACTCCATCCAGTCGTCTACAATGAATAACCAGTTATTGGATTCAGCGGCGACTTGGAGATGGAAAGCATCTCCATCAGGATAGCAAACGGCAGACAATGTGCCTATGTCGAAGTCAAGATACCCTCTGATCTCGGGCTCTACAAGTTGCGCTACGTCAGTAAGCCATTGATCAGATGCGCGGGACACTGCATCACGGTGAAGGCTCTGTTGTAAGGGATAGTGGCAATCATTAATGAGGTCAGGTAAAATGAATTGTGAGGGCTCGCAGTCAGGAGTGGTCGTGTGGGTGACAGTGGGAAACATAACAGGAGTCATCGGATTCATATTGTGAACGCCGAGATGAGGAACATATAGGTGTAAGATCGTCAGTCTTTATAGTAAAATTTTCGGTGTCTGGTAACCTGTCATCATCGAACGATGAGCGAAAAAAATCCGAACACCAGGCTCAGTGTATTTACCATGAAAAGACCCCAGACTCTGCTCGACATCTTCGTTTCAAGTTAATGTTGCAGCCATCATCGAATAGCATATAATCATCAACCGTGTATTCCCACTGCCCGCATGCTGACCTCCCCCTCCCCCCGCTACCGTCTTTTTTCGTTGATGTCTTCCTCGTTACTGGACATGGCGCTTCCTGCTGCTGACATAGCAGTTAAACTTCATTCGGACGTTGTGTTATTTGTATCCTAGCGTGTAGCACATTAATGAATACAATAATATGATGGATAGTGGGCGCACATTGCATAACCGCGAATGACTGACGACCGGAGTCCCCGGAGCATGATGAGAGCAACGAAAGTTACAGAAGAATGGTGTTTGGTGCGATGAAGTGCATATGCAATAAAATGGGGGAGCTTTACTCGAGAGTTAGAAGAAAGGGGATACTCTGGAAAAGTAAAAATATGGGTAACTGCACATAACCATGAAGTCTGCTCAAGGCCGTAAAATGGGTCAGTGTCTTGTTGTAGCTTGAGTAGACTGAGATTTGGGTGGCGCCTAGGCTATCATCATCTACACAGTACACCATTGAGAGTAGTGAATTGCGAAATGTGAACACGAGTGAGGTGGAGTGGAACGAGTGAGTCGTCAAACTCGCTAGTCACGAGTGCAGTGATATAATATGCCGCGGTCACAGACACGGCTCTGGTACTCTAATATCTGGTCGAAGGGCATTACAAGTGTGCAGGATGGCACTGGCGTGAATGGTATGGTTATTTGGGGCGCTGGTTGCTGCAGTGCATCACAACGCGTGACGTAATGTTAGCAATCGCAGTGCTGGCGTCCGTTGCCTGCAAGTTGTGCCACTAAATTTTGAGTGAGATGGCAGCGTTGCGATAAGGCTATACCGCTGTTAACATTGCGGTGAGCCTGCTCATTGCCATTCGTGGTGGCCAGATGTGTACGCATATATATAGGGTATAAAGCTTGCAGGACGGTATAGGGCCGGCAGCGCGAATCTATTAGATTGGTATCACCCAGTATGATGGTATTGGGTTGCTAGAGTCATGCGGAAGCTGTCAACGGATGTTTGCAGCAAGCGCGTTGCGGGCCCACATCCTAACCTGCTCGGAGAGTTGAATAATCTTGTATATATATCATATTATCAAGTCTGCGTTTGTTACGAAGTGTTAATAAAGGAGAGCTAATACACTGAGATGTGAGAAGTTAGTTAACAGTTGACATATCGAAGACGTGACGAGAATATTGAACCGACAAAGCTAATAGTTGAGTACTCAGCTGTGAGACCTTGAGGGATAGTATACTGCTCGGTGATGGTAGGCTGAAGCGAAGATGTTGAGCAGAGTCCGGGGTCTTTTCGTTGTGAATGATGTGAGGACTTTTTTCTGAAGTCGTTCGCGAAGGAACCGAGAGATAACACGCCGCCAATCAGTAAACTGGTGAGCCACTCGGATTATACTTGACAGTACAGAATCACGCAGTCATTTGCTGACATGCCCGTCGCCCGAGCTGACGCCACCGGAGTTATGGTGGGAAATTATAAAAAGGGCCAGTGAATTCAAATTGACGCGGCACTGACGCGGCTTACGTGACGCGGCCCTGTCACAAAGTCGCTCAAAATGAATTCCAAACACTTTGAATCCTCGCTAATGATCAACATATGCATATGATCTGCGTACAGGTCTTCAGACAGCAGTGTGAAGTATTGTATCACTGTGTCAAGTTTCGACCCCACCTTATCAACCCCAGCAGCCTCTCTACTCTGTACTACCACGTCAAGCCCCCAACCATGCCATGTCAAGCTTCAGTCAGGCTGGGTCAAGCACTACTCACACCACGACAAGTTCTCCCCAACATCTTCGCAGCCTCTGTACTAATGTAAACCTCCACAATTACCTATGCCGCGTCAAACCTATACATGTCGCATCAATAACTGTCAGTGTCGCTTAGGTATATAATATAAGCATTCTACGGACAGTGGCACTCCAAAAAATCATTTATCTACCCTCAACTCCTATGGCCTGGGGCAGAACCGGTAACGCGCTGTTGGAAATCTATATATACCATGCCTTTTG